TCTGCCGTGTTTGTCTTTACAGACCACCTGCAGGATTATGTTGGAAAAGAGGAGGATTTCTCTGAACAGCAGCTCTGTGGTCAGGAGGTAAATTCCAGTTTGGACCAAGAGGAACCTTTGCAGATAAAAGAAGAGCAGATAGAGTCAGAACATCCCTGGACAAAAGAGGAAACCATGGAGCTCCCCATAAGTGAGCATGAAGAGCAGCTTGTTCTGATGCAGGAGACTGAAGATACAGGAGAGAAACCTTTCTCAGGTTTGACAAGGGGAGAAAACCTTCTAAAAAAAGATTTTTTTATGGTTCACACTCAAAAAGGTCAGAAGATTTATGAATGTCTGTCCTGTGGAAAAATGTTCCCAAAGAAATCTAAAATTGATGGACACATCAGAATTCACACAGGTGAAAAGCCCTTTTCCTGTACTGTTTGCAACAAGAATTTTACTGAAAAGTGTAATTTGATTAAACACATGAGAGTTCATACAAGTGAGAAACCTTTTGAATGTCTATCCTGTGGAAAAAGCTTCTTCTCTAAGTATGATCTTAATAAGCACATCAAATTTCACAATATTGAGAAGCCTTTTTCCTGTACCATTTGTAACAAGAATTTTACTGAAAAGGGTAATTTGACTAAACACATGAGAGTTCACACAAGTGAGAAGCCTTTTGAATGTCTGTCCTGTGGAAAAAGCTTCAACTTGAAGTGTGTTTTTAATAATCACATCAGATTTCACACAGGGGAGAAGCCCTTTTCCTGTACCATTTGTAAGAAGAATTTTTCTCAAAAGACTCATTTGACTCAACACATGAGGGTTCACACAGGTGAGAAACCTTTTTCCTGTACCATTTGTAACAAGAATCTTACTGGAAAGGGTAGTTTGATTAATCACATGAGTGTTCACACTGGTGAGAAGCCTTTTAAATGTCAATCCTGTGGAAAAAGCTTCACTCAGAAATCTCATCTTGATACACACATCAGAATTCACACAGGTGAGAAACCTTTTTTCTGTACCATTTGTAACAAGAATTTTAAAATAAAGAGTCATTTGACTCAACACATGAGACTTCACACAGGCGAGAAGCCTTTTTCCTGCAGCATTTGTAACAAGAATTTTAATCGCAATAGTCATTTGACTCAACACGTGAGGGTTCACACAGGTGAGAAGCCTTTTTTCTGTACCATTTGTAACAAGAATTTTAAAATAAAGAGTCATTTGACTCAACACATGAGACTTCACACAGGCGAGAAGCCTTTTTCCTGCAGCATTTGTAACAAGAATTTTAATCGCAATAGTCATTTGACTCAACACATGAGACTTCACACAGGCGAGAAGCCTTTTTCCTGCAGCATTTGTAACAAGAATTTTAATCGCAATAGTCATTTGACTCAACACATG